TGCAGAATTATTTTTGTTTTTTTAATCCTGGAGATGATACCGGTGAAGTTACACAAGATGGTCAGTGAGCTTAACGTTCCTGAATTGTATACTTTACAAAAGGTTGAAATGGTGCATTTCATGTACATTTTACCACACTAATAAAAAGGGCGAAGTAGCAGAGACTTATCCCAGTGATTGCATTGTTTTTTGAATAAACAATATATTAAGGATGACTATATATAAATTGAGAGGTAATCTTTTCATTCCATTTGTTTTTCTTCCTGTAATTTTCTCTAAGCATGTTTTACTATTTGGTACCTCAGCATATGTTTAGGTCTCAGTGTCTAAACATTTGTCAGAGGCAATGACAAGATGACCTCACACACAGAGAATTTCACAATTAACTGAAGGCCTCCACCTGTTGTGCTAAGCATTGACACTTCTCCTTTCTGCTTTTTGGGACTTCTTCATTAAATGGGGTTCTACTGCCACCTGCTGAAAGTTCTGCTTGCTTCCACTGTGAAGTTTTTTCCATGCCCTCATCATGTGTGCCCTATTACAAATGGTCATTCAACAAACATCTCTTGAGTATCAGGCATTTTTGGGTGGCTGGGATATATCACTAAAAAAAAAAAAAAAAAAACCAAGTATGCCTGTAGCATCTTTATGAAGCATAGATGAGAAGCAGGAGAGCTAGACAATAAATAGACATGGTGAATGGCAGAAAGTGCTAACTCCTTGAACAAAAGGCAATGATAGGACAGAGAGATGAGGCGTTCAGAGGCTGAGGAAGGTGGGGCACAATGCAGAATTAAGTAGCATTGCCAGCTCAGCCTCAAACTGTCTCTCCAAATCATCTCTCCAAACTGTGTGCAAGTCAATTACCATGTAATTACCTCTTGGCTTTTCCTTCAGGTCCAATGTCTGACTCCTAGGTTACTAGAGGAGTCTAGTGAAATAGATCTGTATCTTTAAGAAAGAGACTGACACCCTATGTATGTGTTAATATCTCCATATGCACATGTGATTTTATATGCAAATAAAATTTTAAACTCTAAATATGTCAATTTATGTTTAGTTCAAATATATACACCGTACACATACACAGACAGCTCTGTCCCCAAAGGATTAAAATATGGCTACAATGAATATGCTGAAGATATATAATAAAAACTATATTCTTATTTTCACAATAAAAAAATGAAAAAGAAAAAAAAAAACTATATTCTTAGTCCCAGTTACTCAAAAGGCTGAGATCTTAGGATCACAGTTTGGGAGGGTTTTTTTGCTACTAATTCTATATTTTTTATTATCTTTAAATAGTCATACAATTCAACATGTCAATTGATAAGTAAAATGCATCATGATCAAAGTCACTCCTTCTGATAATGTTTTGTAAATAGGAAAAGCTTTCCTAATCTTTGATAAGGGAAAATTACAGCATTTAGGAATAACTCAAATGTAAGAACTGTGTAAGAACACTTGAAAAGCTCTTTACTGGTCTCACTAGATCCAAAACAGAAGTAAGATTAAAGAAGTCCCTTGAAAATCTTTCATCAAGTCCTGGCTCAGCTAGGTTTTTGGCTGGTAAGACAAGTCACTAATTCTGCTTTTTATCTGTGATACAAAATGATATTCTTTGGAAAGGACAGAATGGAATCAAATTATGGAATTCTAATGCATTATGACCATCTTTGACTATCTCATTGCAAATAAAATGAGAGTTTTTCTCAGAAATATGCTTTTAACTGAATTCATTTTAGTTTCTAAATCTCAATCTTTGGTGGATTTCCAGTGCAAAGTTCCACACTGTAAGGCACAGCAGAAATAATTTTGACTGGGACCTTTCATAACAGATGCTGGTCACCCACCATGGGCAAAGAGCTTCAGTCATGCATTCCAAAACCATCAGTCTCGTCACCAGTTCATGACGCCGTAGTGTATGATTTAGCTATAAGATGTCCCTTCAGGAAAATTAAAACTCAATTTTCTGTGTGGGAAATACTATAAACATTTCAATATTGTGGAAAGCCACTGAGTTCCTTTTATTTAAGAACTTCATTGAATATTATATACCAATTGTGGTTCAAACTATGTTTGAAGCTGATATTAGCTATTTTTCTCTAATCATTTGAAAATAGGACCACAAATGTTCCTAAAGATCATTACGAGCAAACAAGCAATGATCATCTTCTATTGATTATTAGAGTTATACGTGCACCCACACACAAAGACTGGCATAGCGATAACAACGGGCTGACATGGTAGTACATGCCTATAACTGAAGTACTTGAGGGGCTGAGGCAGGAGCACTTAGGGTTTGATGCCAGACAAGGGTTTGATACATAGCAAGACTGTATCAAAAAGAAGTGAATAATAAAAAGAATGCTGGAGATAAAAGATTTTTTACTCTGTAATTTATTCCACTTTAGATGCTTAGTGAGGATGGCAAGAATAGTTCCAGGTGCCAGTGTTGTGCAGGTGTATGGGCTCTACAAAATTACAGGCATTCCATCTAACTCCTAGGAGTTAGAAGGAAATCTATGCCCAGTTACTAAGTCAATGACACTTGTGGTTTCTGGCAAACTCTCCCTTTCCACAAAACGCCTCTGGCAGTCAGAGTGGCTTGGCTGAAGATCAACACAGACTCTAGGGCAATCTGATTCTTCCACCAAAAATGTGGAATCGAGTGTGTAAAAAGTTCAATTTTTCATTACTTTTACAAGGAAAGGGATTCACTATGACATTTCTACGCTTGAATACAATATGTCCTGTATCTGTTAAGACAGAAACAATGCAAGCTAGTTTTGCTGTGCCCTCATTCACCCTGCCTCACTTCCCATGAAAGCGTTGTACCATCATATTGTCATGAAGTGTTAAGTATTTGAGGATGGGGAGCAAGAGTAAAGTATGTAGCTGAGAGGGATGAGCATCCAGAGGGATGAGGAACAGCAAATGCAACTTGTGACAGGAGAGGAGAACCCAGACATCACATCACTACGACCCACCGATACTAAACTAGCGAAGGAACTACTACAAACAGCTCCATGTTCGTAAGTCATGCAACAAGAAGAAATACAAGATTCTTGGAAAGACCAACTATGGAAACCCAGAAATAACCTGAATAATACTTACCAAAGAATTTGAATTTAGAGCTAAATTTCTCAGGAAGAAAATTTCATGGTGAAATGGATTTGCTGATGAATTTTAACAAATATTTAAGGAAGAGAAACTAATTTAACAAAGATTGTTCTAGAAAAATCAAAAGGGAAACAATGATTTATTCAGTGATGAATTACCTTGATAACAAAACAAAAAGACATTACAAACAAGACCAGCAAATAAAAATATTAGGTCAGTATCCCAAATGTACACGTAAAACTTCATATTATCAAAATCTATAATCCATTATACATATATATAAATATATGTAATATACAAACATAATATATACCAAAATATATAAAAATAACATATATATAAAGGATATGTATATATGATAGATAGAGCTGGGGATGTGGCTGAGTGGTAGAGGAGTTGCCTAGCATGTGTAAGGCATGGGTTCAATCCCCAGTACTGACAAAAAAAAAAAAGTTTTAAAAAGGAAAACACATTATGACCAAATGGGAATCCTTTCAAAGAAGTAGTTGATTTAATATTCAAAATTAAATTAATGTGATTCACTCTACTAGGGATGCCACAAGTGAGTGGTTTAGAACAAATGAAATTTATCTTCTCACAACTCTAAAGGTCAGAATTCTAAACTTCAAAAATGGCCAGGGCCATATGCCTTCTAAAAGTACTAAAGGCTTCCCTCCTAGACTCTGAGACCCTCAAGCATACCTTGACTAGCAGGTGGCTACCTTCTCTGGGTCCCATGACTTTTCCCTACAGAGTATTTGTATTCAACATTCTCCTTTTTTTGAAGATACCATCCTGTTGGGTAGGAGGCCATCCTAACCACCCTACTTTTGACAGGATTTTTTTTTTATAAAGATGTTATTTAGAAGTAGGGTCCCGGGGATTAGGAATTTTCACTATCTTCTTTTGAAGAGGAACACAATCCAGTCCACACACCACCAGCGCCAGGAAACAACTGATGTTGGACATCAACGAGAAACTGTAAGAAAAGGCAATCTCGTGTTCGCTTTGGCAGCACATATACTAAAATTGGAACGATACAGAGAAGATTAGCATGGCCCCTGCGCAAGGATGACATGCAAATTCGTGAAGAGTTCCATATTTTTAAACAAGTCGTTTAAGGATACAGGTGGACCCGTTGCAACAATGAGAAGTACAAGTTGTCACATCGAAAACGAACTTTACAACTTTGGTGGGGGGGTGAGGATTGGGTGGGGGGGGCGGGGGAGGCTGGGAAGGGATGGGAAGGGTAAACAAAGGAGGAGGCTACAATGCTTGATAAGAAATGTACTCATTATCTTGCCCATCTAATTGGAACTCCTCTGTACAGTATGTTCACAAAAAAAAAAAAAAAAAAAGGCAATCTCTTTGAACAAGTGCTGATGCCTACCCCTAGGTAAATGAGATTACACACTCACGAAACCAAAAGCTCTAAAGCATTTATCCGGAAACACTGCGGGAGAGCCTTTGTGTATGGGGTTAGAGTTCTTAAACACAGAAGCTCAACCAATCCGGCCGGCCGGCCCGCCCAGCCCTCCGTCCCCGACCTACCCCGGGGCCAGGCGCCCGGTCAGAGGCCCGCCCCTCCCTTCCCCAGACCCCGCCCCCTTCCCCGGTGCCCGCCCCTTCTCTCCAGCCCGCCTTGTTCCGCCCTCCGCTCGCAGCGCCGAGCTGGGTGCGCGCGCGCCCGCTCGCCGGCGTCTCCACCCGGAAGAACCATCAAGGCTGGAAAGTTGGGTCGGTGGAGCGCGGGGCCGAGCCGGGCCGGGCTCGGAGCTCCGGCGCGAGGCAGGCCTGACGAAGCCCGCGCGCTCCCGCGTCCAGCGGCGCCTCCGCGCGCACGCCCCGCCCCCGCCGGCTCCGCGCGCCCCCGGGCCGCGTCGGTGACCCCGCTGCGAGGCCGCGGGGAGACTTCAGACCCTGCGTGCGGGCCCGTGAGCGGCCGCCGCCGCCGCCGCCGCGTCTCCCAGGTGACTACTGCAGGTTATCCCAATTCTTGTCCACGTCTTTTTGTTCATAGTTCACAACTATTCAGCTTCGCGACTCGCTGCCTGAAGGAGCGCCGGGAGCAAAGCCCTGGGTTGGTCCGACCCGCGGAGGTGTCCCAGGGCGAGGCCTGCTGGCCGAGGACCTGTGGGTTAGGAAGAAAAGTTCGGAAGCATTCCTCCGGGAGCGCGTCGACTCCGCGTTTGCCGGGCGGCCAAGCGGGTGGGAATGGCGGGAGACTGCAGGCGGCCGGGCGGCAGGGCACGTCGTGCTCGGCCCCGCCCTCCGGGGGCGTGGCTTTCATGGTGGGGGCGTGGCTCCTGGAAGGGGCGGGGCCACCCGCCAGCTCCCAAACACGTGTTGTAGGGGACGAGATAAAGCCAAAGGATTTCATTTTGACCCCAGACACTCAATTAAAGAAAGGGGTGTGCAGAGATCTTGCTCAAAACAGTAAGTGCCTCAAATCAGTTGCCTGCATGGACATGAGTTAGCACAAAGTTGGCTAATTTGGGGCAGATGTGGAAAACGAAGGCTATTTTCAAAGAACCTTAACAATATAAAAACGCTGGTGTGACTTAGACGAAATGTCATCTGATTTTAATTTGCGTCTTAAATTCTGTAGCTTCCCTCCTCCTGGCCGATATGGAGCTCTTTTCCAAACTGCTAAATGTGGGTCTCTACATTGAATATGCGCTGATAGGATCTTGGGAGATTCTCCTGGAGCCCCTTTCAGGAGTTCAATGCTTTTTGTTGTTTCACTGTTTAGGCAAAACAATATTGTGGAAATCTGTGTGCTCAGTTGTTTCCCAGATGCTTTTTCTGCTTTCTGTTATCAGAATGTAAGTTATACAACGATAATTAGTAGTGGCCATGATTTACCCTCACAATTTTTGTCCACTTCTTTTTTGGCAATATTAGGGGTTTGACCTCTGAGCTACACTTGAGCTATACCAGCCTTTTAAGCTTAAGGTTCATTTTTAGATAGGGTCACCCTCCTACTTAGGCCTGTTGCATCGCTGGGCTAACAGTGATATCCTGCTAGGCCAAGCTTATTTGTTGAGATGGGGGGTCTTGTTAACTGCTCAGGTGCCTCCATTTGCAGTCCTCCAGATCTCCACCTTCTGAGTACTTTAACTTATTCTCTTGGACATATACTTTTATATTCTTAATCTCATCCTGGACGCTTGAAGTTCTAAGAATTTTTGGCTTAACAGTGGTATGTTCTTAAGTCTTTCACATATTCCCACATAATAGGTTCTCAAAGCAGGCAAAATATTTTAATAGCATAAATTACACATGTTAAGGATGCTAATCTATGAACTTTGTAACAATCTTCATATTTGTTTAAGCCTCGTTTGATAAGTGCTAAAAAAAAAAAGTCAAATTTGGAGAACACCTTTCCTGTAGTACTTAGTCTGTTTCCAAAGCAGGCAAGCGTTTCTGAATTGGACAGTCCATTTGTTACTGTCCTGAGTAGTTACTCCCATCTCATTCGAATGTAATTCCTCTCTTCTTTAAAGGTGCTCTTTAAATTTGGTTTATTTATTCAGCTTTGCAGAAGCCTATAGTTATATTAGGGAGAAAAAATAGGAAACATACTAATTTCCATATGTACACTTATGAAGTGAATCATTATTCAACTTAAACCTGGCTATCATTCTAACTAACAACGCAGAATATTTGTGGATGTATATGTGTATAATTACAAAGAAAGAATGGAACACTCATGTCTGAATAAAACCTAGAACAAGCTTGCTTGTGAAGAACTCCACTGGGAATATCGTCAGCTAAAAGAATAACTGTTTTAAGCTGGGCACCTGTGGCTCACGCCTGTAATCCTAGCAACTCAGGAGGCTGAGATCTGAGGATCACGGTTCAAAGCCAGCCCAGGCAGAAAAGTCCATGAGACTCTAATGTCCAATAAACCAATAGAAAAACAGAAGTGGCACTGTGGCTCAAGAGGTAGAGTGCTTGCCTTGAACTGAAGAGCTCAGGGACAGTACCCAGGCCCAGAGTTCAAGCCCCACAACTGACAAAAAAAAAAAGTGACTGATTTAGATTTTTTTTATTTATTTATTTATTTTTGGTCAGTCATGGGACCTGGGCGCTATCCCTCAGCTCTTTAGCTTGAAGTGAGTGCTCTACCACTTGACTTGGTTAATTGGAGATAAGAGTCTCATGGACTTTCCTACCTGGGCTTGCTTCGAACCATGATCAGATCTCAGCCTGAGTAGCTAGGATTACAACCGTGAGCCACCAGCTCCAGGCTTAGATTTTATTTTTGAGAGCAAGTGTGTGTGTGTGTGTGTGTGTGTGTGTGTGTGTGTGTGTGTGTGTGTGTGTGTGTGTGTGTGTGTGTGTGTGTGTGTGTGTGTGTGAGTGTGAGAGAGAGAGAGAGAGAGAGAAGAGAGAGTGTGGGAGAGGAGAGAGGGAGAAATGTGGTCAAACAAATCTGGAGTCATTACAATATGTAATGACTAAACATATTGTAGGTTTAATGTGAACAAAGATTTGAAAAAAGATTTGAAAAGTGGTTTGTACTATTTTGTCTTTTGATAGCACTCTCTAATTCTTTGACTTGAATTTAACTTTTCTCATTTTTAATGTACATGTTTATATGACTAACAATTCAGATGTTTAAATTCAGATATTGCTTTGTGATTATAGTGTAACTCAAAATTCTTATGATTTACAACTAATTGTTCTTGTTAAATATTATATAAATTCTGAATTATAGAGGTATAATACTATCTTTTATTTTTCTTTAGTGATCTAGATTCAAGATGAATAGCGATCAAGTTACACTGGTGGGTCAAGTGTTCGAGTCTTATGTTTCAGAGTACCATAAGAATGATATTCTTCTAATCTTGAAGGAAAGAGATGAAGACGCTCATTATTCAGTTGTGGTTAATGCCATGACCCTTTTTGAGACCAACATGGAAATTGGAGAATATTTCAATGTGTTTCCCAATGAAGTATTAACTATTTTTGATAGTGCAATCCAAAGATCAGCCTTGACAATACTCCAGTCCCTTTCTCAGCCTGAGGATGTCTCTATGAAGCAGAATCTTCATGCCAGGATATCAGGTAAGTCTCTTAATAAATGTTGCTGCCATGTCATTTTCTAGGACCAGTTAAAGAGATTATAACGGCTTCAAGTACTGTTGAGGTAGTTATTTATACTTAAAATGTATATCCTATGTATCCCTGCCAGTCTCTTCTTTGAGATCACAGTGATTATCTTCTGGGTTCCTTGTCATATGAACAATTGGAAGGGAGGAGATGTGCGGTCAACAGTATTTCTGAATCTGTATTTCTGTGTATATGTAAAATTGTTATGAGCATCTGTAACTACTAATAATAATGAGAATTGGTCATGTAAGAATTAGGAAAGTGGGACTGGGAATATGGCTTAGTAATAGAATGCTTGCCTAGCATACATGAAGTCCTGGGTTTGATTCCTCAGTATCACATAAACAGAAAAACCCAGAAGTGGTGCTGTGGCTCATGTGGTAGAGTGCTAGCTTTGAGCAAAAGAAGCTCAGGGACAGTGTTCAACCTCTTGAGTTCAAGCCCCAAGACTAGCCCCCCCCCCCCCCCAAAAAAAAAAGAAGAAGAATAGAATTAGGAAAGTGGTAGATTTTGTCCAGTGATCTTCAAAACATTTTAGGAAATTTATTGTTTTATGTATTAAAAGTAGCATTGTACTGGCCACCTATCAGGAACTCACTATTTTTGTTTCATGCATGACAGATGAAGCATCTTGATTTTTAACTGCAGTAGCGCAAACGGCAACTTCTGGTGGCAAAGTTGTGTCTTTGAGTTCCTTCCACCAAGTCTTTGGTTTTTGCCCCTTAGTTTTTGTTTTCAAAATGATGATGATGATGATGATGATGATGATGATGATGATGATTTGCCTGTACTAAGGCTAGTGCTCTACCTCTTGAATCACAGAGCCACTTGCAGCTTTTTTGAGTAGTATATTGGAGATAAGAATCTCATGGGGACTTTTCTGCCCAGGTTGGCTTCGAACCACGATTCTCAGATCTTAGCTTTCTGCGTAGCTAGGGTTAGCCACTGGTGCCCACCTTTCAAAATGATTATTAACAGGTGGGGGCTGGGAAGGTGGCTCAGTGGTAGAGCGCTTGCCTTGCATGCATGAGACCCTGGGTTTGATTCCTCAGCACCACATAAGCAGAAAAAAAGCCGGAAGTGGCGCTGTGGCTCAAGTGGTAAAGTGCTAGCCTTGAGCTGAAGAGCTGAGGGACAGTGCCCAGGCCCTGAGTTCAGATCCCACGACCGGACCCAAAATGATTATTAACAGGTAGATGGAAATGAAGAGCCAGTCTTAACAATTTTAGGAAAAAGAAGCACTACTGTGTAATAGTTCATTCCACGAAATCATTTCTTGGAAGGCAGTACTGGATCATGAAAGAAATGGGATAATTGGTTAGAGCTACTTCTCTGGTTTGGGAAATTTAAGTACTTATTGCTTGTGGGCCTGCCTTCCTCTCGTACTTCTTTTACATCAGAATATTCCTTTCTCTTAAGCATAAGGTACTTTGTTACTCAGAGTGGAGGGAAGAAGTTGGTTATTTTATCTCACTAAACCTGTTTCTTCACATGCAAACTCACCTCTAGACTCCCTATCAATCCCCAAACCTCCTAAAAACACTTTCAAAGTATCATCATTGTATTAATGAATAAAGACTGGTATAGCTTCATTTTATTTTTTGAGAAAGACTTGGCAAAATTAAAAGCAAATTCTGGAATATTTAAGGCAATCATTAAATTTAACCATTAAATTCAAAACCATACATTCCTTTCATTAAAAAAAAAAACTTTGCGGAAGTGGCGCTGTAGCTCAAGTGGTAGAGCGCTCGCCTTGAGCTGAAGAGCTGAAGGACAGCGCCCAGGCCCAGAGTTCAAGCCCCACGGCCGACCAAAAAAAAAAAAAAATACATATAATAAAAAAAAAAAAAACAACTTTGCATACCTAGGAGGATTGGCATCCAAGACTGCTCTGGGCGAATAGCATGAGATCCTATCCAAAAAAATAAAGCAAAAAAAAAATCCAAGTGGTACAGTGGCTTAAGTGGCACAGTGTCCACCATTTTACCTTATATTACATTTGAGGGAGGTACCTATAATCAACAAGAATATTTATTATTATTCCAAAAAGTTGAGTTACTAGAGTAGAACTACTTAAAAGCAAATGAATGTTTAAAAATGACCAGATATTTGAAATAAGTGAAAAGTAGCTTTTGTATTTCCTACTCTAAAAAAATTAAGATTATTAATAATTATGCTTCAAAGCACTAAATAAACTCTTCCTAGAATTAGTAAGGATTGTTAAATGAGTCTTAGCGTGGAAATGGTATTTAGGAAATGGTTCTGGTTTCTCCTTATGTTTAGATACCTTCCCATGCAATTTAAATATTAAAATTCTCTGAGTGACCCTATCCATTTCACATGAACTTAGCCTATTTTTAAAATTCTTTGAAAAACTAAATTGTAAAATATGTTGCTGCCTTAGTAATACTCATTCTACATGAATGAGTATATGTGTATATGAAATTGCTAGACTCGGGAAACTAAAAACAACATGATTTAGGTCTAAGGGAGCTATGTGGTTAAGCAGTTACCAGATGGCATATGTATGCCCATGGGTACATGGGCACGTACATGTTAACAGCTGTGGAGGAGTTTAATGGCAGACTGCATGTTATGTGATGCATGCCTCACTCAAGACAGATGGAGGTATTTTAGCTCACAGAACAGGGTGTATTTAAATTTTCCTAGAGGGCATCACTGGACATTTCTAGAAGGACAAGTAAGCTAGTAAAGTATGAAGGTGTACCAGTCAGTATGAATAGCATGCAAAAACTAAGGGCTGGAAATAGTCTGGTTTAGGTATGTTGAAAATCCCTCTTGGCCTTCAGATGAGGTAATTATTAAAACCCCAAGATAGTTCTATATTCACTTTCCTTATGAAAATAAGAGTTTCTGGTCTATTTTTCCAGGAAATACATTGAATTTTATTCTCTCAATTGTATTTCTGACTTGGTCTTTGAGAATTCCTTCCTTCTTCCCTCCCTTCCCTCCCTTCCCTCCCTTCCCTCCCTCCCTCCCTCCCTCCCTCCCTTCCTTCCTTCCTTCCTTCCTTCCTTCATCCATCTTGGGGCTTGACCTCAGGACCTGGGCCCTGTCCCTGAGTTCTGCTCAAGGCTAATTCTCTACCATTTTGAGCCACAGATCCACTTCCGGTTTTCTGGTCATTTATTGGAGATAAAAGACTCCAGAATTTTACTGCCCCAGCTGGCTTTGGGCCATGATCCTCAGATCTCAACCTCCTGAGTAGTTAGGATTATAGGTGTGAGGGACTAGGAAGATGGCTCAGAGGTAGAGCGCTTGCCTTGCATGCATGAGGCCCTGGGTTCGATTCCTCAGCACCTCATAAGCAAAAAGAAAAAAGCCGGAAGTGGCGCTGTGGCTCAAGCGGTAGAGTATTCAGCCTTGAGCTGAGGGACAGTGCCCAAGCCCAGAATTCAAGCCCCACGACTGATCCCCCCCCCCCCCCCCCCCCCCCCCCCCGGCCAATAAAAAGGATTATAGGTGTGAGCCATCAGCACCCGGTTTTGAGAATTTTTATTAACTACATCTTACCTAGTTTTCTCAATGGTTCACCTGAAGAGGCACACAGTGAACACCAAAGTCAATGAAAAAAAAAACCAAACACCCACATGTTACTTATAGCTGTGGTTTGTAGACATTAATGGATATCAAAATTATCTAGAAGGATTTAAACATTACTGGACCCACTCTAGAGTTTCTAATTGAGAAGTTCAGGAACAAGACCTAGGAATTTACATTTTCAATGCTTTCAGATGCTGCTTATCCAGGACCTATATTTTGAAAGTCACAGACTTAATAGAGTGGACCCATGTCTAGTACACATACAGATATCCCAAAAATTTAGTTGTTCTTTTAGTAACATTTATTTACCTTTGTTTTTTTTTTTATAAAATTTTAACATCATGAGAAGAGAGCTACCTGGGGTGTTTTAATGTGTCATTTCCTCAAGATTTTGGAAATAAGTTTGTTTTCTGACAGCCTCAACTGTCAAGTTCATGCCAATTATAACAAAGCACAAAATCACAGAGCAAAAGTGTGGATTCTTTAGTATCAGAATGTGATGCAAACTGAATAATGTGAATTAAAAAATATAGCCATTTAAAAATAATCAAAGTATGCTTCAGTCTTGAAAGCTTAGAAAAAGGGATGGTCCGGGGAGATGCTAGCAGTGACCATCTGGTTTATCCATACAGTATCACTGTGTGTATGGAGAGACTCAGCCAACCAAAGGAGGAAAATTCAAACCTGAATGTACAACAACAACCAAATATTAGGTTAATGTAGCCCAGCATCTTAGTCAATTTACTGAACCCCTTTGCTTTTCCCCTCTAGACTTCCCAGACTACACTGTGGTAGTTACTATTGTTGTTCGGCAAGGAGAAAACTTGCTAACCATAGAAAATTCCGGTATTTATAATACCTAATGTGGTTATTTCTTAGGAGTTTAGCAAATCTGACAGACCAGTCTTTAATGTGCACTGTTGCCAGATCTTTGTGCCACTAAATTCTGGGGACAATAGGCCACTGGATGTAAACCAGTGAAACCAATTTACTTGATAAACCTGTTAAAAGGTAGTCTTTAATCACACACAGTATCTTCCCACTGTAGTGCTGGATCACAGGCAAACTTCAAAATGGCTTTTCTGCCTAAAATTTTTCCTTGGCACTCTGCACTTGCTTGCTTTTGTGGTTATGGTTCTGTTTGTTTGTTTCATTTTATTTTTTGGCTATGTCGTTTGTTATTTTGAGATTGGGTTTTGCTCTGTGCCAACTTGTCCTTACCCTCTGGACTTTCCCACCACCTCTTGAGTGCTAGGGTCAAAGGAGGTGCTACCATGCTTTAGCACAGCTACTTGCTTTTTTAGTGTCAAAAATACAATTTTGTAAAAGATAAAGTGGTACTGGAGTCAAGCTTACAGGTAAGTCAAGGCTTGAAAACACCATCCTATTTGTGTCACTAAATCCTAACTGGAACAAACTAGCCTGGCACTATGGAACTGTTTGGTCATCTTGCTACCTGCCCTTTATCACTCTGCTTTGTTATTGACTGAATTATCAATTGATTTTATGTGTGTCAAGCAGCAACATTGTTTTTGTTAAATGTGATTATAATTATATCCTGTATTTATAGCCTACTGAGATAATCCTCCTACAAGAATCCATTTCTTCTTTCTTTTTTGTTTTTGAATCTTGGTTACTAATTAAATATTTTTTTCTTTTTTTAATATATATATTTTTTATTGTACAGATACTGTACAGAGGGGTTACAGTTACATGAGTAATAAGTACATTTCCTATTGAGCATTGTTACCTCCTCCTTTGTTTTTCCCCTAGCATCCTTTCCCTCTCTACCTCCCCAACTCCCCCCTCCCCACTCCCAGGTTGTAAAGTTCGTTGTCAACATAGTGTCTTGTACATCTCATTGTTACAATGGGTCAACTTCTATCCTTGTTTCAGCTTATTTTTTCTTTCCATGAGAGAGTTTTATAGTCCAAGCTGGCCTTGAATTCAAGCTCTTCCGTGCACACAAGTGCGCACGTGCTTGTATGTGTGTGTGTGTGTGTGTGTGTGTCCGTGTCCCTGTAGAGAGACCATGCGTCACCATTTCCAGCTTACTAGTATGGCCTGACTCACTAACTTGGCCACCTTTTCTTTAGCCACATAATTGAGGCTTTGTTTGTTTCTCATTTGTGGAGAGGCAGGAATGTGGTGCATATCTGCATCCACTTGTTTCCTTTCTACTCCTGGATTTAGATATATGCTTTTAAGAGTCCATTGATAATTATAATCTTTTCTGGTTTTGTTTTTTTTGGGGGGGGTCTGGTCATGGGCCTGAACTCTGGGCCTGGGCGCTGTCCCTCAGCTCTTCAGCTCAAGGCTAGCTCTCTACCACTTGAGCCACAGCGCCACTTCCGGCTTTTTTCCTTTTTGCTTATGTGGTGCTGAGGAATTGAACCCAGGGCCTCATGCATGCAAGGCAAGCGCTCTACCACTGAGCTACCTTCCCAGCCCTTCTGTTTTTTTTAATTGGGTTGATAACCAGATTGTTTTCTTAAGTAAAACACAAAGATTTTCCACTTGTAATTTCTCCCCATGAGAATATTCCATGGAATAAGTCAATGATGTTTTCCCATCAGGTTTGCCCATCTGTCCTGAATTAGTGAGAGAACACATTCCTAAAACCAAGGATGTAGGACACTTCTTATCTGTCACTGGGACAGTGATTCGGACAAGTATGGTGAAAGTCCTGGAGTTTGAGCGGGACTACATGTGCAACAAATGCAAGCATGTTTTTGTGGTCAAAGCTGACTTTGAGCAGTATTACACCTTCTGCCGGCCATCTTCATGTCCCAGCTTGGAGAGCTGCAATTCCTCAAAATTCACTTGCCTCTCAGGCTTGTCTTCATCTACACCTGCTAGGTGTAGAGATTACCAAGAAATAAAAATTCAAGAACAAGTAAGTGATCAGATAAATGAGAAAATAATAAAATTGATGGAAGTGGCGCTGTAGCTCAAGTGGTAGAGCGCTCGCCTTGAGCTGAAGAACTGAGGGACAGCACTCAGGCCCAGAGTTCAAGCCCCATGACCGACAAAAAAAAAAAAAGAAAATAATAAAATTGACTTGGTTTTTCCCTGTGGTCAAATTGCTGTATTAGAAGATATGGATTCTATTGTATGGATATAGAATGGATACAAATTAACTTGTGTTATCATTTTATAGAAATTCAAAGCCTAAAACTTGTGCATATATTAAAATACACTTTTTAGAAACCATAGAATAATCACCATTTTGGATAGATCATTGACAAGAAGATTGTGGAATAACTTAATAATGTTAAAATAAAAGTGACTATAAGAATTCTCTAGTAACTGTTCTTAAACTAAAGGATAAGAGAAAAGCTAGTTTAACCGGTTAAGCATTGTTAAAAGCACCATTTGGAATTCAGGTTCAGTTTTATTTGTTGTGCCAGATGAAGTATTTATGTAAATACTTTGAAACAGGAAAATGTACTCCTTTTTTCCCTTTCCTTAGCTTATTAATCACAGAGTATCTCATCCAGAATAGGAACTTGGCAATTTAAGACTGGCATGTTAGCTTTTTACTGTGGAGGATAAGATGTCAGTTTTTCTGTTTCACCATTCTTTTTTTTTTTTTTTTTTTGGTCATAGGGCTTGAACTCTGGGCCTGGGCACTGTCCCTGAGTTCTTTAGCTAAGGCTAGCACTTGAACCACAGCGCCATATCTGGTTTTCTGGTGGTTCCTGCCCAGGCAGCTTTGAACCTCCATCCTCAGATCTGTCTCCTGAGTAGCTAGGATTACAGGGGTAAGCAACCAGCACCCAGCTTGTTTCACCATTCTTAATGCACACTTTTATGACACTGTCTGTGGGCCAAGATGGTGGCTATCGTGTCTTTATTCTAGTCAGTGACTGGGAAGAGGAAGAATGGTGGATGCATCTACCATCTAACCAAATCTCCACTTGAGCAAATTTTTTTGGCTGCATCATATAACATATCTGCTTATATCTCATTGGACATAATCATTTTACCATACTATGTGCAAGGAAACCTGGGAATATACTAAACACATGTCCACATGGAATTAAACCAGGTTCTGCAACAAGGAATAATCATTGACTAGGTGATTTATCCAAGGACATGTGTAACCAGAAACCAGGAAAGAAATGCCTCTCTTTTCTAGATAAGTAATTTTGTTATTTAGTTTTTGAACATATATTTACTTTGATCCTCCACAAGGAAGATCTGAAGATAATTTTCATATTGGTGCTTCTTAAACTGATTCTAAGAGTAATTTTCAAGAACTATTCCTTGAGTCTCCATCATAATTTTATTTATGGTAATACCAGAAATAGGGAAACAGTAATTTTAACTACTAGTAGACTCCTGGATAATTAGGCAGTATGTTGAGTGTTTTCTTTTCCTTGCTAGGTTCAAAGGCTATCTGTTGGAAGTATTCCACGATCTATGAAAGTGATCCTAGAAGATGACTTAGTAGACAGTTGCAAATCTGGTAAGAGTGAACCTTATTTTTCCCTGTGGAGATCAGTCTTTATATGATGTTCATGCTGGGCTTGAACTCCTGGGCTCAAGTGAATCTTCCCCTTAAGCCTCCAGAATAGTTAGGACTATAGTGTAACGTACTTAATAAGAAGTACAAGGTCATGTCGAAAACGAGCTTTACAACCTTGGTGCAGGGGGCGGGGGGATGGGGGGGTAGAGGGGAGGTAGGGAAGGGATGTGAAGGGTAAACAAAGGAGGAGGCTGCAATGCTTGATAAGAAATGTACGCATTATCCTGCCCATGTAATTGTAACCCCTCTGTACAGTATGTTCACAAAAAAAATTAAATAAAAAAAAAAAAGAATAAATTTCTCAAGCTAGATGCATGTAATCCTAGCTACTTAGCTGACTTGAGATCTGAGTATTATGGTTCAAAGCCAGCTTGGGCAGGAAAGCCCATGAGACTACTATTTCCAATTAATCACCAAAAAGCTAGCAGCTGAACTGTTGCTCAAGTGGTAGAATGCTAGCCATGGGGAAAAAAAAAATGTTCAAGGACAGTGCCCAGGCTCTGAGGTCAAGCCCAGGATCAACGTACCACACACACACAGGAATTTCTGTCAGCCTGTATAGGAGGTCCTAAGTACTGATTAGAAAAAGCCACTGTTTATTTCTCCCCAAGGTCACTAGCAAGGGAATGTAGAGGATTAATTACCCTTGTGAGTAAACTGGCTTGCAGGTGGGATGTCCAAGAAGTGGGCTAGAGTTTAGGGGTGTAGCTCTGTTGGTTATTTTATAGACAGCTGGACTTGTCCATGGGCACTTAGAGTTAGGTGACAGAACTAGGGCAGGATTCACTAACTGGACCCAGGCTCTTTTCTGTGTACCACAGCATAATATTAGCAATTTGAAAAAGAACAGCTGTTGTGAGGGCCATATGAAACTGCCACTCAATGAATACTTGAGTAAATGAAAGAATATGAATTAGGATTTCAGAATAAACTAGGTTCTGTACAAACGCAGACTACTGTTAGTAGAATAGTAGTCAGTACTTATTAAATACTCAGTATTTGGAATGAGGTAATTCACATGCATTATCTAACCTAATTCTCATTATAGTCCTATGATATAAATCTATTTCCTTTTTGTAGGAAAGTTGTGTAACTTGTTCAAGGTTACATAACCAATGGGAATAGAACTAGGATTTAAATCTAAATTTGATGAGTTACTGTGTTTAGTCACTCTTCAATGAGGTGCGTTTTCCACAGTCACTCTTACTTTAGAGTATTACAAGTAAGTTCTGTATATCTAAAGTTCTTCAGTTAAATAATGTGGAGACTTAATATAACCTGTTAGAATCATCATACTAGACTGTTTGCAATATTTAAGTTTAAAGGTATCTAGTCATTTTTACCTAAAAGATTTGTGGTGAACAGTATCATAAATGTTTAGAAAAAATGTTGGGAAAACGTGTATAAAATACCTATTTAATGTGTTTGTCAGCATCTACTATGAAGTTGCCTTTGGCTAGAAACGTGTCTTCTGTGAACTGGCTCCACCCCTTTCATGTATTTAGCATTTATAAAATACTTTTCTTCAGGAAACCTAAAGTTCTACAAAGAACACATTACACATTGAAATTTGCATCAGCAAAGAACAGGAAATTGGCACAGTCTTGGTTATAAAGAATTTAGCTGTTAATCCTGAGACTGTTGTGCAAAGTATAAATATCAGGATTAGGTGTGAGGCCTGTCCCAACATCCTGCATTGAAATTTGAGAAGATTATGCAGTTGTGTTTTCTTTTTGGTTTTGGCCCCTTTTGCTCCATTATTGAAGTACTGAATGCCAAGAATTCACATATATTTGTTAGCTGATATAGTATAAGTAATAACAAGCACAGATACTATTTGTGAATGTGCTGATAAATTACCTAGGTTTTTTTTTTAGGAAAGTATATAAGACTAATATTCTGATTATTACTGATAGGAAGTATTCTCTGTTTAGGAAGGAGCCACTAAAAAGGAACAGGCTGGTTGACTTTGTAGAAGAGGTATTCATTGATTTCTTAGTTCATTCCTTTAGTTCATTTTTTAAAGGGAAAGCAGTGAAGAAAATATTAACAAATGAGAAAAATAAAAATGAACATTGAGAAACTAAAGTAGGCGCCAAACATCACAAGATTGTCTTTTCCTAACACCAAGTTGATTATAGATTCGCCTTCGGGCTATAATTCTCACATCTCTTCTCCAATTGCACTCTTGAGCTGATGCTCATGTCACCAACATAACGATTTATAAATCTACCAGAAAACTATTCCCAGTGAAGAGCAATAATTTGGTGTTACCATATAGATTATGAAAAACAAAAATACTGATTTCACCTTTAACTGTGCAGATAAAAGTAAAAGTGCCTGTTTTAAAAAATAATAATTGAGAATTTAATATATCCTTTTGCCCCCAGATTGCTGGGGGATTGCTTTCTGGATGAGCATGTATACTCTAAATCCTACTGTGGATTGCATGTGTCTGTGCCCAGCATGCAGACTCAATTTGATGACTTTTCCTAGGTGATGACATCACTATCTTTGGAGTTGTAATGCAGCGTTGGAAACCCTTTCAGCAAGATGTACGCTGTGAGGTGGAGATAGTCCTGAAAGCCAACTATGTCCAAGTAAACAATGAGCAGTCTTCGGGTATTGTCATGGATGAGGAAGTTCGAAAGGAATTTGAAGAGTTTTGGGAATACTATAAGAGTGATCCTTTTGCAGGTTTGTGTTTAGGACATAATGATAACACATTCAGTTGTTAAATATGCTGTGATTTACAGACAATCTTAAATGCTGTGTAACTCTCAGCTGATTTCAAAGCATTAGGATCCATAGGATCTATCCATAGTCTTCTTTTGAAGTTCTTTTCTGGAATGCAGACTTTTATTCTTAGCGATCTTCTTGATCACAGATCAAAATTGATGCTGCACCCAGCCTTGCTTATAGCTACATAAATTAGATCTCAGTCTTTTACTCTTTTTCCTTAGTGTTTTAAATTCTTTGTTTAGAGGACAGGAATGAAGAGGAAGATGAGAAATCATTAATAGGTCCCACTAGCAGTTGTAAAAAACAAACTGGAAATCACCCAAGCCTAAAGAGTCAGTTTTGTTGAGAAAAGGTGGACTGTAACTTGGTAACAAGAATCATCCCAGTAGCAAAGGACACAGACTCTGGTATCATGCTTGAATTATTTGTATATGGCCCTCTTAATTTACTTTAGGAAGAATATGCTTATAGTAAGATAGTAGTTAATCTAGGAAGAGAGATTTTAATAAGGTTTCTAGGTGACTTCTGAGCTTTTTGTCTTTTGCAGGAAGGAATGAAATACTGGCCAGCTTGTGCCCTCAGGTGTTTGGGATGTATCTAGTAAAGCTTGCTGTGTCTCTGGTGCTAGCTGGTGGGATTCCAAGGACAGATGCCGCAGGAACAAGGGTCAGGGGTAAGTACCACTGAAAGCTTTTGAGAAGTATGAACATATATAAGAAGAAAGCTAGACTTTTTCTCTCCGAAATTAAAACTGCTTGTTGAGTTTTATTTTCTAAATGTAGTTATTTAAAGCTGGCAGTATGTCTCATATTTAAGCATAAACTTGTATCTGTTAGAAGCTAATTTCTATATTTCCAGAAAGATTGAATATTAAAACTTGTCAATAGTTATATACTTCTGCTATCACCTATGAGAATGGCACAAAATAATATTTTTATATTTTAATTACTGTGTTTTTTCTTTTTTGGGGGCGGGGGGGGGGCAGGATCCGGTCATGGGGCCTGAACTCTGGGCCTGGGCGCTGTCCCTCAGCTCTTCAGCTCAAGGCTAGCGCTCTACCACTTGAGCCACAGCGCTACTTCTGGCTTTTTTCTTTTTGCTTACTTATGTGTTGCTGAGGAATCAAACCCAGGGCCTCAGGCATGCAAGGCAAGCTCTCTACCACTGAGCCACCTTCACAGCCCTACTATGTTTTTTCATTGGATCCCTTGATCACTATTTAAGAGGAAAAAGGTTAGAAAGAGTGGATTTTAATGTCTCCAAATCAAGTCTCTCCATCTGTAACTACCGGAGTGTTTCTTTAGCTGATACTCCAGTCATCTGCCTGCCGATTCCCCTTCTGCTGGTGGGAGTAAATGTGCCATCTGCACGAGATGCTGGTATAGGTCACACATTCAAGTAAAGATAACTAAAATGTAATTGTATCTGGATGGTAGAAAGCTCTTTTGCAGCTTAACTGATCTGAATGTCTCCTATATGGGCCCTATTAAGCAAAGTGTAACCCAAAAGAACTAAAAGGACATTATTATAAATCAGACTTAACAGGTACTCTAAAACCATCCATTGTAGTACAAAATACTAATTTATAAGGTATATGAATGTTTGTTGCTCACCTAATATTTGGAAGGTACTCCACTAAATGTTGAACTTAAATATGGATTTCCAATTAATATACTTCGAAAATACTTGAGGAATACTTTTTGGTCAGTGAAATGATATGTATCATAGAATTGTTATATTCCATTCATGTTATATTTGAAAAAATGAGTACTTAAGTAATTCTACAATATTTTAAGCTACCAAAATTTTCATAAAATGAAAATCTTTTAATTGTTCTTAAATGATCTAGTAAGTATAAAGCATTTATAAAGTCTCCAGCACTTACAAATACCTAAATACAAATAGAATAAAACCTTAATATGACTTGTATGGAAAGCTTTAATCACAGTAGTTTGATATTTAAAAAATAGATAAAAATCAAATCAGAAACCTTATATGCCAAGAACTTTTAAAATGTTAAACAGGGCTTAAAACATCTGGAAATAGCATACAATCTATTAATATGATATATATTTGAAATGTCATAATTCAGTAATCAACTAAAAGTTGCTTTGACAGTTAACTTTTCTAAAGATTTCCTAGTTAAATCCTTTCTTGAATGTCCTTACATAAAAATATACATCAAAATAGTATAGAAAATTTGTTGGCATTCCATATGAACTATTTTCTTTTAGATTTACTATACTTATAATTATTCATGGATCCTCTCATAGAAATTTAAAACTTTACATATTTTATTTTTCTAGGTGAATCTCATCTTTTACTGGTTGGGGATCCTGGTACAGGGAAATCTCAATTCCTCAAATATGCGGCAAAGATTACACCAAGATCTGTGCTGACCACAGGAATTGGATCTACTAGTGCAGGTATTTTACATGATGATTTCAAGTAATTTAACATTACTATAGGAGCTAATAAAATGTTTTTTTCCTTATGAAAAAGCACCTATGAAAGGATAAATTCCTTGCTAAGTTTTTAAGTTACTGCCAAATATTAAAGGAAATATACATTACTTTTGAAGCTCTAAAAAAAATATTTTAAAAGCGCCATCTTCAACTTCCTTATGCACCTTAATTTTGAACAGTGCTAGGATTTTTGTCAGTCTAGTGATTATTACCTTTATATACTTACGCAGTAAAACGTACACCTTACTTATCTGGTATTTTATGAAGACCTAAGCAGACAAAACATCAAAATAAATAGGGAAAAGTTCACTTTACAAAAGTAAATAGATGGCATGGGATGTAAGGCATTTGCATGACCCTAAATCTCATGGAAAATGGTAGCCCCTACTGAAATTTCATAGACTTGAGATTTATCTGTATTTAGAAAGCATACTTTTCACATATACAAGGAGCTTCATTCATACGTGTAGATTTTTCCATAAGCACATTTAAAAGCTTTTGTGAACAGAATGTAAAGGTTTGATTATAGAACTGCATGGCTCAAGTGACAGACAGAACATCACCATTGACTATAGAATCTGGGGTGTGGCTCATGTGGCAGAATGTCTAGGTTTGATTATGGGCCTGGCTCAAGTGGCAGATTGAATGTCAAGGTTTGATTATAGAACTGGGGTTGTGGGCTGGGAAGTTGGCTCAGTGGTAGAGTGCTTGTCTTGCATGCATGAGGCCCTGGGTTCAATTCCTCAGCACCATATAAGCAAAAAGAAAAAAGCCAGAAGTGGCGCTGTAGCTCAAGTGGTAGAGTGCTGGCCTTGAGCTAAAGAGCTGAGGGACAGCGCCCAGGCCCAGAGTTCAGGCCCCATGACCGGATTCCCCCCCCCCAAAAAAAAAACTAGGGTTGTTGCTTAAGGCAGACAGAATGTCAAGGTTTGATTACAAAGCTGTGGCTCAAGTGGTATAGAGTACTTGCCCAGTAAGTATGAGGGAGGCCCTGAGTTCAAACCCCAGTATGAAAAAAGAAGATTTGATTATAAGGTGACTTAGGGAAAATGTTTTCATTGTTTTGTATTGTTAAACAGTTAAACAGATAGTTAAATAGATAAGATCTTTGGTCTCACACCTTTTACAAGTTAATTGCTGCTTAGTAAGAGAGCCTCACTTCTTTGGCCTACACTCAAATTTCTTATGAGAAGCTTGTACCTTAAAATCTATCATTCAACAGAAAATAGTCCTTTGTAAGTTAAAAAGAACTCAGACTTCAAAATATAGCTAAAAAGTAAATTAATAAATGTTGACAAAAAGGAATTTGTGAATTGAATGGGTAAACTTAGGGATACTGGAAATAATAACAATATAAATATAAAGAACCAAGTGCATTTTACAATCCCAATATCGCATTGCTCTAGAATTTGTGTAAAATGATACAGCAACAAATAAAGATGGTTTCCCAAATAATTACATGGAGTTTCCTAATTACAAAGAATGCCAAGAAAAAGTCTAAGCCATCTTACAGGCTACTAATAATTTCTGACTATTTGAGAAGTTTTATAAAGAACTGGGTGCTGGCTCAGTATAAATTGATTAGTGTTAGTGTTTTTAACTTTTCCCTCTTTAATGCCAACATCATAATCCAGACACAAAAAGATTATGTTAATATCGGTATTAATGATGAAATTGTAAAAAGGGTATTAAGAGCATTTTGCAGCCGGGTGCCGGTGGCTCACACCTGTAATCCTAGCCACTCAGTAGGCCTGTAATCCTAGCTACTCAGTAGGCTGAGATCTGAGGATCGCAGTTCAAAGCCAGCCCGGGCAGGAAAGACGGTGAGACTCTTATCTCCAATAAAGCACCAAAAACCAGAAGTGACCCTATTGCTCAAGTGGTAAAGCGCTAGCCTTGAGCTGAAGAGCTGAGGGACAGCACTCAGGCCTAGAATTCAAGCCCCACGGCCGACAAAAAAAAAGCATTTTGCCTTTTTTAGTGTCCATCTTATAATCCAAATATGAAAGGAAAGACTAGGAAATACAAATTTTACAATTGTAGAGAATTTGTTGCTGCTACTTCCCAACACAAAAGATCAGACTGACCTTTCTTTAAACTCTCATTGCAAACCCTAGGGAGGCACACTGCATACAGCGGGGTACTCATGTATTTTATAATGTAAATATATACTTGTATTACAGGCTGATGCCTTAACTTACACCAAAGATTTTTAAAGCTTTGAAAATTGCTGCTACATTTTCTTGGTAAAGGTAGTAACTACAAATCCTAAAACTGTAGCAACATAGAAACCTAAGGTTCTAAATGAGTGTATGCATGCATGCTTCTTTAGATTTCTGGAAATGTTTTGGAATTTAAATGGTACCTCATTCCCAACCTATTTACCTATCTCTTCTTTTCATGTTTGTATTCATAAACACAGCTATTTACTATGATCAAAAGAAGAAAAAACAGTTCTAAGCCTTGCAGCTATAATTCAGATATAGTATATAAATGAGGCTAAATGGTGAAAAAAAAATTCCTACATGTGGGGTTATTAATTTTTGTTCTTAATGTTTTCACTGATTTTTAATTTTAAAATTACCTTACAGAACATAAAGTTTAATAAAGGTATGTTTATGTCCAAAATTCATTTTTACAAATTGACATAAAAACCTAATAATTTGATATCACTACAAAGTTATCCTTTATTTATAATTTAAAACTCAGCAGTGAATTGCTTTATTTGGTGATTTAGTTTCCTAGTAAGCATATATATCTTGTTCCTTCAATATTAATCACTGAGCTCTTCATTGGAAAGTATTACTTTTATTTTCATTTTATTATTTTAACAGTACCTTTTAATTGCAATTAGACAGGATTTTTCTACATATAGTTTTAACAGTCTGAAGTATTTTATTTTTAAAATCTGAACTAGTTAACTGACAATATTCTGATAATCTAGAGTATTAAATTTCTAAGTTTACCATTCAGCAAAACTTTGCTTCACAAATTTGTTTTAGAATGACAGAAAATATATACACCTCAAGTATGTGGTAAGACAAATGCCCTTTTATTTCCTCAAAATAAATGCTTTAAAAGTGCAGTATAAAAATTTTAGATATGAAGGCACTGCAAAATCTGCATCATAGGCTATCCTGCTTAGTAGCAAGAGCCAAATGAAAATATGCGACCCTTAATTTAACAGAGCTTAAGAACTGTTTGAGGAAGTACCTAGCTCTCATCAATGAAAAATAACCTTTTGGCCCATTTAATTAGTGAATTCCTTCCCAAGACTGCTTTTCAAAAACTTATCTGGAAAAACTACCTAGAATATGTCAATTACATATATGCTTGATGGTATTCTTCATGAGTGTCAGAGGGTGTGGAAAAGAATACTACAGGTGTGAAAAAAAAACACAACTATTTCCAAAATAGTAATGTATTACAAAACAGTAATGTATTATGATTAAAGCTAACTATGCTTTTCTAAAGCCACTGTTTTTAATAAATAATGCCAACAACACATGATCTACCAAAACAGTTTTTGAAGTTCATAATGTTTGTACAAACTCAAAGAACAGATCAGAGCCATAATAATCACTTATTCTTAAATTTAGGGAAGTTTGTATTTGCTCTTAACTGTTGAAATTATTATACAATAATAATTTGTAGTTCATGTGCTCTGATGTCCTAAACTGTTATAAAGACAAAAACAGCCAGAGGACCTTATAAACAATTAGCTACATTTGTTATTAAAAACCATACCAAATTCTGTCCAGTGTTATATGAACAATTACTATAGCCACAGAAGCTGTAGAGTGGCCTAGAAAAAACAATCCTTAATTTTTGTACTATATATAGTTGATTTCAAATACCTATTTCTTTCATAAAAGAACGGAATTTTCCCCCTTAAAACCACATTGCATGTCTTCAAAACATTTGTTCTTCAAAAGGCAAGTAAAATAGTGGTCCAAAGATTATTGTCAAAGAGGCTAAGACATCTGTATAATCTGGTCTATTGATATTTCTCTGTTTATAAGAGCTTTAGTTACATATAAAGGAAAAGAAAATAATATATATGCTTTAATCAGATTCTTTCAGAACAAATAAAATAACACATTAGAGAAAAACTTACTTAAAAATAGTTGTATTTATATTCCACAATTTGTTCAAATACTGGTTTTCTTATAAACTGGTTTTCATATGAACTTTCTACAGGATGTTTTAAAACAAATTCTTCACATTGTGTCTTGACTATGTACTTACGGAATTTCAGGGAAATAGTTCTGTGTTTTTAATAGCTTAATTTGTACTAAAGGGATGGCAGGTGGGGTCACATGCAGTCCATGTGGGATTCTAACATGACATTTAATGAGTTTTCTGATGTGGACCATCCCTTAGAGGCTGAGGGTAGCGCATCTGTTGAAAGAAGTGACTGTAGATTTGGATTACTGCTCTCTGCATCTTCCAGTTTTTCTGTGTTATCTTCCCAATTGATATGAAATCTTGTGACCCTGGGATTAGATGCCAAAATGTTCCTTTGAAGCTAGAGGAAGGAAAGATATAAATGGAAAATTAGATCATCATATGCAAATAGAAATTTAACAAAATAGTTAAGTCATACTAAGTGGTTTATTCATATAGAGCACTTTAAACATGACTAATAAGCAAGAACTAAAGCCTTCGCAAATAAATTACTTTAGCATTGTAGAGATAAAACAAGATAAGGTATATCTGAAGCAATTCACAGATCTTTCAATATCCACTAAATGTCTAACTTCCCTATTTGTGCTTCTTAAAATGGAGAGAAAAAGCCTTTTTCTTTTTTAGATAAATGCTTCAGGGGATGCTTTAAACAAATACGCTATTTAGATTGATGTGCTTTCAAGGAAAATGAGCAACTTCCCTCAATTATTAGTGGCTTTGTAACTTAAAATAGTATGGCTTAGTCTTAGAAACAGTGTTCTAGTGTCCCATAT